CCTGCTGAAGAGTGAAACCACAGATGGACAGACAGACAGACACCGTCCCTGCTGCAGAGAGGAAGAGGAGGGGAACCTGAAGTGCCACAGCCAGCAGGACCCAGGGAGCAGACCTCAGCCTGCTGTGCCACAAGGGACCTGCAGCAGGACTGGCCCTGCAGCCCAGTTGGGAACATTTCCCACCAGCTCTAGCAGGTGGAGACAGGGACAGCACCACTTCTTGGTGGATCTGGCCATGGAGAGGGAGCCCTGAGGCACCGTCACACCCAAATTGCAGCTGGTGGAGGGAACCCTGCTCGCCCTCACCCCTGGGAAGCTGCCACAGCTTTAGAGCTGATTTGGGATGAAGAAGGGGGGGATTCTTCTCCCATCTCATTTCTGGAGGGCTGCTTGCCTGGGGCATCACTGGAGCAGTGAGCAGGCAGGGGCAGTGCCAGGACCAGCCCTTCCTGGAGCAGGACAGCTCCTGCAGGAGCCTGTGGCTCACCCTGTCCGACAGTGATTGGATGGCAACTCCTTGGATTTCAAAGCCAGGAAGGTCTGCACATACAGGCTGCATGGTCAAAGCCTCCAGTCTCTCTTCTCCTGGTAGTGTCCAACATCAGTCTGCCAGGAAAGCTCTGAGTGTTCATCTGCCAGGTACCCTGCTTCCACACAGAAGGTCTTGGGTGCTGTGTCCCAGCAGGGTCAGGCACTGGGATGGTCAATGCTGAGGAGCATCCTGAAGCCTTCAGTGCAGAGCTGCCCATGAAACTGCCTCTGAGTGGAGGGGGAGGCTGGTTGAGGAGTTTCAGCATTGCTAAGAAGAGGGTAAAGCAGGGGCACCCCGGGTGTCTGAAGGGCAGGCTGAGGGTTGGCTTGGTGGAGTTTGGTCACGACTGCAGCCATGGATGCTGTTTTCAGCCCTCACCTACCACGTGGGGTGAAGTTGGGGTGACGTTGCTGTTGGAGACTTTTGGAGCCCATCAGAAGTGCCCACGAGGCTGTATCACAGGGTTAATTTGTTCTGCAGCTTCCTGTGGTTCTACTGCTGTCCTGGCTCTGGGTGTGTGGGGATGGAGTGTCCTGCTGGCCCCTCTCACCCTGTGCCAGGACCCCTGCAGTGAGGTGTTCACTGTGTGGCTGCTGTGAAGGGGCTGCTCTGTATGTGACAGCTTGTGCCAGCCACCACCACCAGACCACCACACTGGGGCTGCTGAGCACTGCTGGGAAGCTGCACCTGGGCACTGAAAAAGGAGCAATTGGACCAAGGAGCAGCTCCAAGATGGATGTCTTTTGCATAGATGTGCCCATAACTTCTTTCTCCACTGCTTGGCTTTTTCCTGGAGCCTGCACCAGCCCAACCCTGAACTGCAGCCACCCATCTAGCAACAACATGGCCCTGGAGGAGAGACATCCCAGCTGCTGGAGAGAGCCAGGCATCCCTCCCTGCCTAGGGAGCTGGTGCTGGGCTGCCCCAGGCACAGGCCCAAGGGTCATGCTGGGAGCATCACAGCCACTGTGCTCCTGTGTCACTGCTGGCACAGTAAAGACACGTGGCCCCTGCTCCCACACCACCTGGGATCCCACCACACGATCCTGCTCTCCCTATCCCAGGACTTGCTGGTTGCAGGAGTAAAATTCCCTACCTGGACACAAAGCCCTGTGGCCAGGCTCTGCCCCCCTGCAGTGCTTGTGCACACCTTGGCCTTGCCTCTCCTCTGTGGGCCAGCAGCAAAAAACCTGTGTAAGCTCAAAGCTACGTAGCCAACAAATAACCTATTTCAGCAACAGCATCCAGCCCCCCACCATGTCCATGCTGGAGGGGCTACTGAAGTTGGTGCTTTTGAACCTGTGCCTTCCCTGGCTGCTGCAGGGCCAGGGATGAAGCCCACATCCTCTTGGGTCTTTCTGAAAGCTGCCCCACCTCTTGGGCTGGAGTAACTGTGCAAAGACAGCACAGTTTGGCCCATGGCAGTGAGAGTTACATACCAAAAGGATCTGTTGTTTGTTTTTTTCTGTTTAAACCACTGTTTCTCTGGGTGTTGGGTTTGGTTTGGGGGAGTGTATCTGAGGGGGGAATGTTTGCAATGTGTGGCCACCTGAGATGCAACCCCATGGCCAAGAGCCACCTTGGCTGGTGGGTTTGCAGGTGAGGAGGTGGGACAGTGAGTGAGCACCACATTGGTGGGTTTGCGGGGGGGGAGGTGGGACAGTGAGTGAGCCCCACAGGCAGCCACTATGGCTGCTTGCCTGTTTGTGCAGCTGGGGTGGCCTCATGAGGTCCAAGCTGTTTTCTTTCCCAGCAGCACCATTTAAACACCAGTTGCCCAAGCTCTCCTTACAGCTCATCCTGGCACGTCATTACAGCAGCTGCCCAAACCAGCCATCTTCTCCCAAAGCTGGTGCAGACCTAAGGGATGTGGCTCTCCAGAGACCAGCAGGTCTCTCCCCCTTGGTGGAATGTGTGATTCTGTAGACACTGTGTGGCTTCACACCAAACATACTTGAAAGCAGAGCTGCAGTTCCTCATGCATGAGGCTCTGACCAGACGCACAGAAGTCCCACACAGATCACTGAGCTCAGGGCTGGGAGGTGACTCTCCATTGCCCCACGGTTCAGCCCTTTCAACCTTCAAGCCCTTCTGTGGCCAGCTAAGATGCACAGAGCTTCTGTTTTTAAATGCACAATCTATAAAACTGAGGCCAATGAGGAGCACTGCAATAAACACTGGGGTTTATTGGCATACAGCTTCCCAGAGACAGAGTTTGGGTCTTGCAGTTTTGCTCTGCCCTGTGTGAGCACATGGGGGGTTGAGTGTGGGTTTGGGCAAGTCCCAGTGTCCAAAAAGCCCAAAACCAGCCCCCAAAAGTGCACCCACCCCAGAAATAGGGGTGGGTTTAGGCAGTGATCCACTTCCTATAGTTTTTTTTTAATAATAAATAAAGCTGTAAAGTGTGTTCCCCATTGGGAGAAGCAATAAAAGAGGCTGGAGCTGTCATGGGTTGACTCTCTCTGGAGTTTTGTACCTTGTCCATTGTTGGAGGCTGATCCACATCCACACACACTGTGAGGTATCCATGGGGTTCCTCTGCCCACCATGGGGCCACACCACAGGGGACCCCTGTGCTCCACTGTCTGTGCGCAATGCTGGAGCCCTGCTGGACATGAAGGATCAAAGGCTGGGGGGGAGGACTGCATGACCTCCCAGCAGGGCTGGGAAAATTCCCATTTCTGCTCTGGGAAGGGATGCTCCAGCCAAGCAGTGGCCCATCCCAGACTCTCCTTGTGGCACCAGGGACAGGGCCATGGACTTCCCAGCAGAGGATGGAGCAAGGTGGAGGGATCATGTCCTCACCAGCCTGGCAAGGGCTGGTGGAGTGTTGTGGAGCATTGGCACAGAGCTGACCTGCAGGTCTCTGGCTGCATCCACTCCTCCACATTCTCCTGTGTGCCTTTTTTTACTCCTTGAAGGACCTCATGTTGCAGATGGCACACATCTTCCAGGTGACAAGCACAGTTTCTAAAGCAGGCAGAGGTGAAGAGAGTGGAGAAGAGGTGGTGGTGACCTGGCCCTGAGCACAGAAGAGCCCAGAGGGAGCCTTCACACCCTTCCCAGGGCCAGGGCTGCTGGGTGAACGTGGCCCTGGCCAGAGCAGCACCACAAAGGATGCAAAAAGCCCAGGTACCATTCCCAACATGCAAGCCCTGCCCTTGGCTGGGCATGGAAGTTGGGCATTGTTCAAACAAGCTTGAAAAGTTCTGGGAGGTTTGAGTGCCCTCCTGGCAGCCACTGCATGAAACCCCTCAGTGCTGGGAGTGGGGTGGGGGTGTGAGCACCCGAACCCCGTTGGGAATTCCCCTGGAGAGCCATGTGCTTCACTCTGTCCCAAGCCTGCAGGGTCAGCAGGGTGGGAGCAAGGACTTGTGGATCCCTCGGAAGGCGTCACCAGGTGGGTGTTCCTGAGCTCGTGGTGCCTAATGCCGAAATAATTCCCAGTCGGTGCAGAGCCCAGGGAAGGGGGGAGAGCAAGGGCTGCAGGGGCTGGAAGGGGGCAGCCCTGGGGCAGGGATGGTGGGTGATGAGCCGCCCAACACGCGGGAGGGGAAGATGCGACGGGCACAGACGGGGCTTTGCCCGGTTTGGGGAGCAGGATGGAGCCCCGGGATCAGCGCTCGGGGCCAGGGCTGGAGCCCCACGGGCAGGACAGGCTGCGGTGAAGCAGGAGAAACATCCACTAGAGGGGACTGTGCGATCGCGTGTGGGCAGCGCGGCCGCCAGCCCGGCTGCACGGCAGGGTCTGGCCGCTGCTCCTTCCAGCCCTCACCGCCTGGTGACCCCAGCACCCTCTGCATCCCTCCTGCTGCGCACAGAGTGCACCCTCTGCATCCCTCCTGCTGGACGCAGAGTGCCCAGGGTCAACAGGAGCACCACGGGGGCACCGAAAAGCAGCTGCAGGCACGGGGGAAGGGTGCTGGGGTGCAGCTAAGCCCCCCCCACCCCCCAAGATGCTCGCTGCCCCCAGTCCCCACAGTGGGATGGGGCAGAGGATGAGATGGGCAGGAGAGCAAAAAAAACTTGTGGGTTAGAAGAGGAGCTGTGGGTCTATAGGGTGCATATAGAAAATATCCCTGGTTTAAAAATGCAGGCTGCACATCCCCAACATCCCAGGGCATCCCTCCTCCTCCTCCATGGCTCCCTGCTCAGCTCTGTCCTGCTCCCCCAGAACTGTGACTGTTCACCCTGTTGCTGTGAGCCTGAAATCCCCCAAGGACCTGGGCCATTGCTGTGCTTTCTCCTCCTGCTCACCATGGAGCTGGAACCCATTGTGGGGGACAGAGGCGGGCAGAGCTGCAGGTGGTGAGGGCAGGAGGAACCTGGGTGGTTTCTGGTGGTTTCCTCTCACCCTCTCCT